CATCCATCCATCCATCCATCCATCCATCCATCCATCATCCATCCATCATCCATTCATCCATCCAACCATCATCCATCCATCCATCATCCATCATCCATCCATCCATCCATGCTAATGTTTTTAGATATGTTGCAGTCATGGAGGATGTATAGTTTTAACTCATTGGATGTTTTGTTCTTATAAAAAGGKTTTAGTAACAGATGCAACATGTGTAAAACCCCAGCCTGGCAGCACAGTTACGTAATGACACACTGCTCCGTTTAATTTTCAAAGAGGAGATTTATTTTGTACACTGCATTGCTCAGTTCACAATCTGGACAGAGGTCACGTATGATCAAACGTTCCTAAAACGTTGGATTGGAGGTAAACGTTCATCACACCGGGGCAGTAAACTCAAACATTACGTCATCAGGAAGAGAACGGGACACGACACGACACACATCGATGGAACAACAAAGACTCTAGCTTCAGATTCTTCCTGAAGCACAAAACAAATCAGCATCTTGTGTTTCTAGAAGACCGATGCACAAACGTCTGCAGGCAAATGGGTTTGTCCTTTAAAAAACCAATAAACCCAGAACAAACGGACCACAGAGAAATGTAAAGACACACACACACATGTAAACACACACTGTACATGCAGGCTTTTGTACTTTGGAGCTGGTTTTTGCTTCAACAAACTCTAAAACAGAAAATCCAGGATTTTTTTTCTCAACTCATATTTTCATAAAACTTTCTTTCTTCTGCATGTCGACCCTTTTTGTTTTACTGAACTCCACCGTGAAATATTTCCTGCATGTTTACAGAAAAGAAAAGGAACAACGTTGTGGAGTCAAAACACATTTAAGCCAGTATGTACAAATGTACACGGATGCAGAGAATATATCAAGGACATTCCAGATATATAAACCGTTAGGCACTAAAAGGTGTTTCAGTGAAACTTGGACCACCTTTTTTTGTTTTTTTCTCCAGACTGATCCCAAACGGACCCTGGCCTAAGTCTGATCCACCACCTGATGGGAGTGGTGGTGCRAATTATCGATTCCAAAACACTGAGTGTTCTGAAAACATGAGGTCACCGGACATTAACGCTGGACACTTTGTTGTTTTTATATAGAAAGTCTTTGAGAATGAAATAATTAACATTTTCAACGTGTGCAAATTCAACCAACTACACAGAAACAACCATCGGGTTTCCACAGACTGGGCAGCTTTCTGCTCAGAGCAAAAACACGTTCAAAACATGCATTTCCACCAAAACGAACCAGCAAAAAGAAAATAATGAGAATACAGTATAATTACTGTTACGTCTCGGTGTGCTTCAGAGCTACAGCTAAAATAAATCAGGTGTTCGTTTTCTGTTTGTGTTTCATTTGATCAAACATGAAAAACGGAACTAAAGGATTTGAAAAACACTGAATCATTATTATTTTTATCATTTACAACAGTGAACAGCAGAGTATGTTGGATGGCATTCATTAGCTCGTTGGTTATGATGAGGGAGAATTTAGAAGGAGCATGCTGGTACTTTGATCCTGGTTCTGGTTTCTCTGGACCTGTTCGTGGTTCTGGTCAGAGAGGATGAGCAACACCTCACAGGTCTGAACATGCACCGTCCATGGAGAGTTCTGTGCACACGTGGTCCTGCCGGGCGGTACCGGYGCTATATGTCCATGTCCACGGGCCGGACCTCGCTGGTTTTGTTCTCCTTCACCCACAGCTCCCTGTCTTTGGCTGGATCCACGCTCTGCAGCAGCTGGTCCACCGGCTCCACCGTCTGCAAGAACACACTGCTGACGTTACTCAGGTTAGAGGGTTAAAACACCAAGATTTACCTATTTTATTCTGTTCCTGTCTCCTCCTGCAGCTTCAAAATACCATCAACTCTATTTATTTAGTTTAGTTTAGTTGGTTTATTCATTTCATTTAAAACAAAAAATGTATACACGTTAAAAACAAAAAATATATACAAATTAAACTGAAATGAAAGGAGGCAAAAAGAAGAAAAAATATTATTTCTGCCCTTTTTTCTATAATTAATTTAAAGCAATAATAATCAAGAAAAAACTAAATAAAAACTTCAATATATTCTCAAACAACAACTTAGATATACATTATACAGTTTCATATTTCTTTAACAAACTTATTTTTATCTTTTTCTTAAAGCAATACATTGAACCAACATTTTTAAAATCACTTTCCAGATTATTCCACAATCTTATTCCTTGAAGTGGACCTGTCCTGAGCCTGGTTCTGCTGGAGCTTTCTTCCTGATTAGCAGGGAGTTTTTCCTCTCCACCGTTTGCTCAGGATGGAGACTGTGATGAAGTGATTCAACACAATCTGCTGCTTTCTTCTTTACATTGTTCTTTTTATGTACAGTGTCCTGAGACAACGTGTGTTGGGACTTGGAGCTGTATAAATAAACTGAACTTGAACTCGTAGTACATCGGTCCTTCAAGTTTGTTCGAAATTCTAGGTTTCACAAACATCTCCTGTCCTTTAACATTATAAGAACTTTCTCTCTTAACAAAATATAACTGAATGTTTAAAGGTAACATTTTTATGAGCCTTATACATAAGCTGCAAAATATTATAATCAAACAACTCATAAAATTTTAATAATTTTCATTTACAAAATAATATATTTGAAGGGTGACAGTAATGTTTTCTGGTGATAATTCTTACTGCTCTTTTCTGTAAAATAAAAATAGGATTTGTAATTGTTTTACCCCAGACTTCAACACAGTAAATAAAGTGTGGAACAATTATTGTATTATATTGTAGGGGTCACCTCGAGTGAAGAAACAGGAGTTACTGCCTCAAAGCAGGTCTCGCACAGGCCTGAGA